GTCGAGACACGGCCATTCTAATATGTCTAAACTTGAAATACAGGAATGACACGAACTGTATTCTTTACAATGCTGTTTTAATGACCGGCAATGTTATGCTTTCTTTTAAAATCATGATAAGGAAAAAAACCCCAAACACCTCAAAACAAGAAAAGAACTTATGGCAGCTAATGAAGTAATGCGTTGTCTCTCTACATTAAAATGTTTGGGGACATAGCTACACGTGCACCACTGATGCCAAATTGGATTAGAACCAATTGAATTCATCACGATTACTGTTATTCAGTGGCTTCATTTTGAGTTGCTGTTCTAGAAGAGGAAACATTACTGTTTAAAAATGGTACATTTTTAACAACAAGCTATTTCTTGCTGTTGGGTGGGGCTGAGAAAGTGCCTGGAGCAGAGGTCGACCCATCCAGCGACTTCTTTCTGGCAGAGCTTCTCTGTGGTCCAGTTGCCCCTTTTGTAGATGAGGTGTGGTAATGGTTACATCAGGTGATGCCACGGAAAGTGCTTTGCATCTGGCCTCCCATTAATTATTACACTTGTTTACGTCCCCACATGTACTTCACCTTGAAATTTGATACACAGAATGTACGCACATCAAAGGTAAACTTAAAAAGAATAGTCATTACAGACGAAAAATGTGCTGTTTGTTGGTAAGGGTCCCTGGGGTGGTAAATGGTTTGGACTCGACCCTTAACCAGAAGGTAGGCACTGTCTCTTAAGATTCAGTGCAAGGAGAGGTTAATAATATTCCTATCTTAAAAGCAAGGAACTTCCAGGCTATACCTTTTGAATTATCAAGCACAAATTCCTGAATTACATGTCAATTTTTCTTTCTTATAAGATGCAAAGCAGTCAAATTTGAACTCTCAACAATGAAGTTGATAGTTTTCTATGACCTGTTTAAGATTTCATACTAAGCAATACTCTTTATGATAGAGAAAGCAGAACATTAAATACAAGAATGATTTGCAACCTAATTCTTGATCAGAAAAGAAACGAAATATGTAAACAATATTGAAAAAGTACTTATACCATGATCAATAGTATACAGTAGACTAAGACATATTAATGGTTTATTTTTAAAAAATGAACTCAAATAATTGTAAACCTTAATATTTATTTTCTTTACCAAGAAGGGGAAAGCAGATATAAGTACTGGGACTTTTATCCCTATGTTTTGGAAAAGAGTTTCGAGTAAGTTTTTCTGAGGTTTGATATTAACTAAGTCTAATAGAACAGAACTTGCTAACATGAAACTCACTGCAAAAAATAAACTGAAAATTAAAGTGGAAGATAGTCTTAAATTTCTATAAACTGAAGTCTTATCAAATAAAAGCTGGGTTTCTCCAGCTAGAATTCTCCAATTTGCTGAAAGGTCTGAGTGCCTGACAGCACTCTGCTGTTGAGAGCGTTCTGAGTCACAGTGACCACACTGGACAGCGCATACATAGAACGGCCCGCTCGGGTTTCCAAGACAGTGAATCTTTAAAGGAAGCAGACTGACTCATCTCTTTCCCTTAGAGTAACTGGTGGTGTGTACCACCACCCTCTGCTCAGCAGCTGAGCCCTGAGCCACTGTGACACCAGGGCTCCCTGGTGTGTATCCAATAGCAGAAAAGGAGTCTAGCTCCCTGGAACAAATGGACATTTACCACATTTTAAAAACTAATATTTTACAGCATCTCAACCTAATTAAAGCCAATTTTCTGATTATATAATTAAATATAAAATGCAAACTGTCAAACTATACTCAAATGAGTTCAAGCAAACATTTACTAAAGTGATACTTGCACAGAATATAAATCAGCCATTTATGTGTTTTACAACAAAACCATTTCACATGTACATTAGGTACAATACTAACAGGTTTTGAAGACAGACCAATTGCTCCTCAGATATCCTTGACTATCCTAAATGACAGGCTGGTAAAGAGGGGCCTTGGTGGCGTATTGGTTACACATTGGGCTGCTAATTGCAAAGTCAGTAGTTCGAAATCACCAGTTGTGGAGCGCATGGGAGAAAGATGAGGCTCTCTCTCCATCCCATACCCAGTTACAGCTTCGGGAACCCATGGAGGCAGTCCTACCCTGACGGAGATGGTTGCTAGCTATCAGTGCTGACTCAATGGCAGTGAGCTTTTTTGAATTTTAGAAATTATCATGATGGTTGCACTTTCATGTCGAAGCAATCAAAGCTTCAACTCTACAACTCAAGAACTCACAAGTATCACTCTTCCTTTACATTTCAGACATACGGAGCATGCACCTCTTTGAATAGGGATGCATCCAGTTTTCTTGTCTCCGTGCCTCTCCTCTGCACGTTACCCATGTGTGGCCTCTGCCCTCACTGGCTTACTTAGCCAACTATTAAAAGTCAGATCAGAGATGTATTCACTTGTTGTTAGCCATTTTGCCTATGTGGTCCCAGGTACCCTACATTATCTCATTCTTTGTGATGAACCCCATCTCCCACATGCCCGTAAGGCTATCTGTCTAACCTTTGAGGTAAAATAGCTTTATAGCCTATGATACAGGGAGACAGTTCTTCAAAGGCTAAAAAGAAATTGTAGAAACCACCGTAGTGATCAAGAATCATTTACTTCAACAAATATCTGAGGGCATCAATGTACTCACACTGGGAAGACACAACCAAAAGGCACAGCCCTTGCCTGTGGGGGGTGGGGTGAGGTTATTACAAGCAGGCGGGTGAATACATTGTCATGCATTACAAAACAATAACCTTGTACTTTACGGGGCCCTCCCATCTTTCAACAGACTACAACAGAGGTCTCTCCTGTGTGATTAGTTTTTTTTAAAAAAGTGATGATATCAAAGTAAAACAAAGGGTGGTGGTGACCATATTGGTTTATAAAGGATTTTCTCAAATTTTATGCCAGACATTACTAGAGCTGAGTAACTAAAATAGCCTGCCATTTCTAGCAGAAGAAAAGGCACAGTGTGAGTACCCAATGTGGCTTTTAGCCTGTAGATAGGCCCTCAGACCCGAACAACAGTTTGGGATTCCCACAAGCACTGTAAAGCGAGGAGAAATCCTGGGAGGGAGAGGGCCAGAGGGCCAGAGAAGGGGAGCCAAACATTCTGTGTATAACCTCTGCCCAGCCCATGGCTGAGCCCTGACCCTGCTTGTGTGGGGCAAACTGCGACGATCAGAGACCTGAACTGGGATCTGAGCTGCTGTCCAAGAAACCGAGGTAAACAATTTCGAATCCAGCCATGTTAATTGTCAACAAAATGATTAAGCCCTTGGTTTCTAACTAAAGGTGGCAGGGTTGGGGTGGGGGGGTGGGGGGATTCAAGCCCCTCAGCTGTTCTGAAGGAGAAAAGCCCTAAGAATCCACTCAGTGAGGATGACAGTCTTCGAATCCTTCCATATAGGACAGTCCAACCGTCACACAGGGCCACTATGAAATGAAATAAATGACAGCACATAACAAGACAAAAATATTAGCACTTTTCAAACAATACAGCAGCAACTAAAGTCTCCATAACATAAACTCTGTGTGATCACGAGGTGTCAAAAGGATCAGGTATCAGGCATCAAAGACACAGAACAAAAAATCATTATCATTGTGAATGAGGGGGAGTGCGGAATGGAGACCCAAAGCCCATCTGTAGGCAACTGGACATCCCCTTACAGAAGGGTCTCGGGGAGGAGACCAGCCAGCCAGGGTGCAATGTAGCAACGATGAAAAATACAACTTTCTTCTAGTTCCTAAATGCTTCCTCCCCGCTCCCACTATGA